TTTTTTTTTTACAATACAAACGTCGATTTTGCAATTTTTGTTCCTTTACATTAAAATCGTCTTTACAATTTTCAAATTATTTTATTTTTGTTCCTTTCTAATTTTTTTTTTACTCAACTCTTTTTTTACTTTACGTTTCTTCAATTTTACGTTCGTTCCTTCCACATTTCTAGCTTTTACTTCATTTCTTTTCTGATAATGACCAAAAAAAGAAGTTTGTTAATGCGTCGTACTCGTACACTACATTCTCCTTTATCCATCGACGCTTCTCATGATGGACAGGGCATTCAGACAGTTCGCTCTTTATCACACTTAAATTCAGCCGAATCCATCGACCAAATATACAATCATAATCGATTAAATAGGTCATCAAGTCTGGATACTGAAGGTATAATTTACGTTTTGGCGGATAATTTGGCAGATCATTCGAAATTTTGATTAAATAGCAAATTTAATTTAAAAATTACTATTTTTTTGTACATTAAGAACGTATTTCACGACTTGAACGGAGAATGTCGTCAATTCAAGAACAAATGTCCACTGGGTTCGGGCAAATAACGAGAATGCTGGAGCGTTCTCTGAACTCACAAGAACGTTCACGACAAAATAGACAAATAGAATATATTCAGGTTGATGATGACGATGACGAAGATGAACTTGATAAACAAGACAATGAGGAATATATCCCTAAAAAAGATCTACATTCGTTGCAAGAAACAGCACAAAAACAATATAATAAGAAGCATCGAAAAGAAATAAAAGTTTGTTTTGGTATATTTTTATTATTTATGTGACGTTTAAACTCATTAATTTTATCAATTTTCATTTTATAGAACGAAATTAAAATTCTAATTTGTAGCGCAAAAATCGATGAAATTCCCATCGATTATACGAAGAAGTTCGGCGAGATTGCACCACAATTGGAAAAGGATCTGATCCCCCGTATCCAATCACTTCTTGAACAATGTGGTATTCGTGCAACATTAAGTATAGTTTGGGATGTGTTCTTGGATTTGCATAAAAATGGCCGACATAAATGGAAAGAAAGCCAGCTTAACGAGGCAGAAATAAAACAAAAAAAATAATGAGCCATATAATCAACCGTTTATCAGAAGTAAGTTAATCAAGTTCCAAATTTTTAGGTAATATTGAAAATTAATAATAGTTATTTTAATTTCAGAAACGGGAACGAAGGATGAAGGGCGCATTAGCCATGAAGAATCACCCCGATTATCGAAAATCTTTTAAAAAATGCGGGATCAAGGATATTAATGAAATATTAAACAAGAACGAATACCACTCTCCTGAAGAGAGTGATCCGGAGAATGATCCAAACGCATCCACAGACCACAAAAACCTTTTTGTTTACAAATTATCATGGAGATCTGATGAAGTAAGTCAGACAATTCATTTTGTTTATGCGCAGTGACACTAAAATGTCTTTATCAATACGTGATTAATGCTTCTGGTTTCGCCAAATCTCGACATATCAATTTCCTTGCATGCTTTCGAATTTTGGAAAAATGCCAAACCTCAAAAAAAACAGAAGTTTATCTATTTCTAATACACGTTTATTTTTAATTAACGAACCTTCTACATTCAATTGACAAGTACGTGGAAAAATATTTTCCAGAAAATAAGAGAGTACGTCCTCGTATCCTTAAAGATGAATTTTGGAAAAATAAGAAAGCACCACCAAATTTAATTTGGTGGACACTTAAAGACGAAAAGCGAGAATCTCCCTCAGTCCATAAATCTATTGACGAAGAATCAGATGATGAGTCGGAATCGGAGAGCGAAGAGGAGGAACAAAGTCAACAAAGTCAACAAAGTCAACGAAGTTATGGTA